GTGTCCTCGAAGTCGTCTGTTTGGGGGAACAGATGAAGACATTCCCGAACTCATCGCTATTTAGGCGCAAAAATCTGGTGATTAGGTCGCAGTCCGCGTCATCCAAGTCGTCGTACGGGTCGTCCACACAATCGCTGCCATCATTGGCGTTGTCTTCGAGGGAACAGTTGTCCACCGACTCTGTATTGGACTCCATTCTGGTCTCCAGTCTATACATCTTGAACTCGATGTCGGCCACCAGTTGGGTAGCCCTCCGATAGTAGGCCACCGCGTCCATGTCGAAAGGGGAGACGAGGTCTTCATGCGGGAGAAACTTGTCAAGGTACCGAAAGTCCAGGTGCAGACAGTCGTATAGTAGCGAAAGAGACACCCAAATCCAAACCCAAATTCACTGCTAATCTTTAAGAAATCAATTGAAAGTTTAAATCCATGTTTAAAACTAGACTTTTATGTGAACTAAGATTAAGAGTTGGCTATAACTAACCCTGGTGCTTTCGCATTTTAATACTATGTTAATGCTTAATGAGTGGTACAGTGGTATAGTCGCTAGTATTGCACCATATTATGGGGTAATTCTGTAATTGAATTAACACTATATTTACATTAAAAAGTACACAAAAATCAAATTAATTTCTATTTCGACAGCAAAACGTTAACTCATATCCACTTCATATGGATTTAAAAGTTATTTTAGTTTTATGTTTAGAAAAGTGTTTAAATGTCTCAAAAAATACTGCAATTTGTTGACTAACTTAGAGATTATGTAACAAATACTTGAAGTTATGATTAGGTGTTCACTACTACTGATAATCTCATTATGAGATACTACGGCATGTATGGCTAACCACTACATTACTGAATACAACCTATACTATAGTATCGCATGTCTTAGACCCAGAGGAATGACATCATGCGATACACACAAGACATGGATTCACAAGAGATTGTCTCAAACAGTGGTCACAATTCATGCCTCAATTGATTGCAGTTCTTATCGCTCGCCAACTCTCGCCTCCAGTTCTCGCGGAAGTTGTCCAACACGTCCATCAGGTCGTCATCCCTGGCCTCGAAGTCCACGTAATTGTCGTTCACTTCGGACCCGTTGGCCGAAGACTTCGCGTAACTGTTGTTTTGCTCCTAAATATCACCACAACATCAGCGCCTAAGACCTCATCAAAACACTCTATGCTTACCATTAGATGTGATAACAAATGGCAAAGACTAATCAAATGATAGATATCTTAAGAAGTGGTTAACAAGTGGTGATTGAATGAATGGTATGTTTGGTGGTATGGCTGGAAGTGCTGTCTTCGGGGCTCAGATACAGGCCGTGAATTCGCGGTCAGAGTTGAAGCTAAGAACTGATCCAAAGAGTCGATAGCGTCGGTGGGCAGCCATGTCTTCACGGCTGATGAGGGAGTGATCTGTGGATTAAGACACGAGTGAATCAATCGTACACTTTACAATTAAGTCTACCAGTACATATTGNAGGCCGTGAATTCGCGGTCAGAGTTGAAGCTAAGAACTGATCCAAAGAGTCGATAGCGTCGGTGGGCAGCCATGTCTTCACGGCTGATGAGGGAGTGATCTGTGGATTAAGACACGAGTGAATCAATCGTACACTTTACAATTAAGTCTACCAGTACATATTGTTAAATATATAATAATTGAGTTGAAAATGCAGGTGCCATATGTCATTATTAACATCATTGAATTGAGTGGTTATTTAAATATTGATAATATTGATAATATTGATAATATTGATAATATTGATAATATTGATAATATTGATAATATTGATAATATTGATAATATTGATAATATTGATAATATTGATAATATTGATATTGATGAGATTTGATAATAATACAAAATAATGACAATCACACCAATGATTTATTTCTAGACATAATAATTATTTTCAACAATAAGAGGGGAATCGCACTTAAAATCTATAAAAGAAATTATATAAAAAATGCAAACCTTTTAAAACACGAGAAATGACGGCAAACCTCATATCCTTTGAATCTTGTGATGAGAAATAGTTTCCAACAGTAAAACCCAATCCCTTTCCCACCCAACCGTTCAATGAATACCATTAACTGTAAAGAAGTTATAATTTATATTATATTATAAGATGATTATGTATTACATGTAATATTTTGCTAGAAATAACTTAAATACAAAACACAGTATTGCATGTTAAATATACAATGTGGTAACTTTATAATCATATATACCTTTACTTTATGACAAAGTGGTACATAATGTTTGTTAGTAAACGAGTGATTATGAAAATATTTATACAATATATCCATTTGTTGGCATAGCTTGCCTGAATAGTGTATAATAAACACCAGGGTTAATAGGAATTGTATAAATAAGACGAGGCAAATAATTCTAACAATCATTATATCAAAATAAATTGACACGTATAAATATATGGTTATAAAAACGGTTATCAGTGTACAATATATGCATAAAAAGTATTGCCAATAAATATGGTTATAGTCAGCTATTTCGGCAAATATATTATTAAATGTAGTAATAATATGTGTCATATTATGAGTCCTTTTATCATTGATTATAAATCGATGCATAATCGCCTGGATCTTTAGCCACAAATAGTAGACTATTATCCCATAGTAGATTAATTGCCAGGTTATTATGCAATTAATGTAATGACCGCAAAGTGCCAAGATGAAACTATGAAATAGTATGCATAATAACAGTGCAAATGTAATTAATTTAATACTAGCGACAAATATTATGGCACATCCTATGAAAACTATAATCGTTATAAACCTTAACACATATGATGTAAACGTAAAGCATTTTCTGCTAAATGTAAGCAATTTGATGACCACTTGTTTGTCGTGAATCCCAATACTAACCGTTTTTATAACCATATATTTATACGTGTCAATTTATTTTGATATAATGATTGTTAGAATTATTTGCCTCATCTTATTTATACAATTCCTATTAACCCTGGTGTTTATTATACACTATTTGTCGTGAATCCCAATACTAATGGGTGTTATTAAACCCGAAAGCATTGAAAATACGCACAAATCCCGCGGTTTTATACCATTCATGAAGTTATAAAAGTTTAGTAACTGTGAGGACAGGGTTATAATGGCGAGAACCATCATGACAATGGATCCCTGTATCCAAATTGGACCTAAAAAATACGTTACGTTTCCAATAATGGCATAAAACTCTGCATTTTGTTGTGGTATTAGTATTGACACCAATTGTCGCAAAAAGTATTGAGAGAAAAGTGAAACGAAAACAACAATCGGTTTGTGAAACCATCGCCTCTTCGGAGCATTCAATGGCTTATGGTTTGAGAGACCGATGCTATAGAAGTGAGTGCCGGCACTCTTGATGGCCAATGATCCGGGTATTACTCTCTTAATCCTGACCCGGGGTACTGTATCCATGGGATGAACGCGCATATTGTTTATTTAAGTTAAATATAAAGTCTAATATCTTTAGGAATTTTAGATTTTTCAATTGACTTTAAGTCATCTAAACTATCAGTGAATTCGTTGAACTAAAAATAATGTTTTAATAAATAGAGTTTTAATAAAGTTTTGTATAAAAGTAATTAAGCTATGATTGACTTTTGAAATTAACTACAGATAATTTAGTTATGCATTATACATTCATTCATTTAACATTGATTTTTATTGCCTTTACAATGTTATTATTTTAATATGTTTTCTACCATTCAAACAAAATTATACAAAATTAAATATATTTATTTCATAATATTTAAATGCTATAATACGTTTATCGTACACTTTACAATTAAGTCTACCAGTACATATTGTTAAATATATAATAATTGAGTTGAAAATGCAAGTGCCATATGTCATTATTCACAGCATTTAATTGAGTTGTTATTTAAATATATATGATATTCATATTAATAAAATTTTATAATAGGTATAATACTAGTAATATAAAATATAGATATATACAAAGTCATTTATTTAATGCTTATAGTAATCTGGTTAATTTGATTTTTGATTTATTTGTACATTTCATGAATAGTAAGCGAAATGCTATTAAAGATCTATAAAAAAAACATTTATAACTTAAAATTAATGATTATTTTGTATTATTATGAAATCTCATTAATTTGAATATCATAAATATTTATATAACAACTCAGTTTAAATAATATGATAAATGACATTGATATATATATCATATTATCATATAATCATATTATTATCATATTATGATTATATATATATCTTAAATACAATATTTAAATAACATCTTAATTCCCATAGTTTTTACGAAACAAATGTAAATATAATACTTTTTATAGACATTTAAATCTATTTAAGACGAGCTTTTAAATTAAAAATACAATTATTTTTTATTAATAGTTAGACAATAGATTTAGTTATAGACATAATCACTATTTTCATGAATAACACGGGAATCACAATTAAAATCTATAAAAGAAATTATATTAAAAATTTGAAACCCATTGAACACCGGAAATGACAGCAAATCTCAAACCCTTTGAATCTTGTGCTGAGAAATAGTTTCCAACAGTAAAACCCGATCCCTTTCCCACCCAATCGCTCGATGAATGCCATTATCTATAATTAATTTGTGCAGGGACATATATTACATGCAAGTTAATTGATTAATAATGAATTACAAGAAATACTAATTACTAAGCAATTTCTGTGCGTTTCAAATACTGTACCTGGTGTAGGCAAGGTAGTTTATCTCGTACAAAAATAATAGCAATTATAAAACACTTTTTGTGTCAAAATTATAAAAACAATTTCAAAATTATAGTCAAACTTGAAATCACTTCAAGAAGTTATACAGAATTCAATGGGAATTACAAATAATTTTCATACTTTTTGTTTAATCAATGTCTTTCTGTCCGAATTAATTCCAATAAATATTTTTAAAACAAATTAATAATGACCTAATTCAAATTTAAAAATAAATATGAATTATTCAATACAGTAAAAAACATTTACATATTTTAAAGTTGATATTTCAATTAATTTCCTAAATAATAATTAATAAAAACATTATAATATTCAAGTTAATATTGATTTTTATTGCCATAACAATGATATTATTTTAATATGTTTTCTGCCATTCAAAACAAATTATACAAAATTAAATATTTATATGTAATTCATAATATTTGAAAGATATAATACGTTTATTGTATACTTTATAATTAAGTCTACCAGTACATATCATTTCAAAATATAATTGAGTTTAAAATGCAAATGCCATATGTTATTATTCACATCATTGAATTGAGTTGTTATATAAATATTTATCATATAATATTCATATTAATGAAATTTTATAATACAAAATGATCATTGATATTACTAATGTTTTTTATTCATTTTTAATAGTATTTGGCGTATTAGTCATGAAATGAAATAAATTAATTGATAATCGTAATAACCAGATTATTGTAAGTATTCAATTACTGACTATTTGTTTATAAATTAACAAAATATTACAAAATAAATTGAATTGAATTTATTGTTACTTAGACACGAAATGCATACAACCTAGGGCTGATTTCCAATACAGTGGGGTTTTAAATATAATATATTACATAAATAATAGTTAATACGATTGACTGAGCGATTGGCAAAATATGGGGGAATTGAAGCAAAGTTGGAGAATATTCATTTAAATTCTTAAATGAGCTAGATTCAAATAATTGGTTATTTCTGATAATTTTGAAATTATTTAATTTAATTTGATCATTTAATTAATAAATTGAATTCTTTCAAATATATTTGAATAATTAAATAACTTTGAGAATAATATAATGTAATTTAATTCAATACAGTTGAAATGTGTTTATAGTTATTCATAGTTACCGCACTATTATCCAGTATATGTCATGTTTGTGTTATATTTATTTTAAAATTTAATCATTAATAATGAATTACTGTATTTAGTAAATCAAATAATATAGTCAAAGAGATTATTATAATTTTTTGATAAGTTTAGCGGACATTATAGCAATTAATATACTCAGGAATGAAAACACCCGGATTAATAATTGCAGCTAATAAACCTAAAATAAATATAAAGTCACATCCACTAAAATTATTTTACTGATTATATATTTTTTATTTAAAACTGCTTATACCGTATTAATAACCTTCAACCAAATCAATAGTAATTAATAATTAAATAATTTTTTGTGACAAAAGTATTTTCAAGTCTTTCATAATAAATAAATTATTATTCAAATATCAATTGTTTTTCAATGCATACCATAAGGCTATAGAAATAAAAGCTAATTTTTGAATTAATACTTTTCATTACATGATTACAGAGTATACCCGGGTTATTATTATTGTCATTACAGTTTATTAAAATAAATGCTGTTTAACTTTTTGTAATAAGGTTTTCAATTAAATATTAAGATAAGTTACCATGTAAGGTTTTTGTAATATTACCAGACATTGTTAATGGGATTCTACTTATAATTCTTGAAGTATTTATTATATGCGGAGTAATCACAATATTATTGACCTGTTTTCTGGTCAACACCTTATTTACGAGAGAATTACGTTCAATGAGACCATAGATTGCATCAAAAGGTCAACACAGACACCCCTAACAGCCCCTCGAAGTTGGACACAAACGCCGTGTACGTAGTCTCTGGAAAGTACTGCACCCATAGGTCGGGCAGTCTATTGTGTTTGGCATTAATATATGCTAAAGTGTTACACATTTTTTAGTCATTTAAACAAAAACGTGTAACACTTTGGCATATACTTAGCCATATGATAGACTTCCTGTAAGACAGAGCTATTTTTGAATGCATAAACTTAAATTACCTAGCATACTATTAATACAATTACCTATAGTTCATAACCAAATATTGTATTTAGAGATAGTTCTGTCTCACAGAAGGCCTACCATATATTGGGTGCTCAGTTCCATGTCCACGATCCGTCTGTAATGGCTGTCTGTGCCCGACTCGATATGCCGGTGCCGAATGGATATGACATTCAGGATCTCCATCACAGCCACGCCGATGGCTATATAGCCTACAAAACATACCACAAAATAAATACAAATGACATCTCATTCATACAAATCATTATTTTCACTCATTTTACACGTATTTATGGCTAGAAATGTATGATTTATTATAGTATTATGATATGAGTCTCACCTAAACTTCCAGATATAGCTTCATATAATCGATTAGGGTTTTACAGGTATACAAAAAAGCTA